CCCCCCCCCCCCCCCCCCCCGTAAATACGCTACTGGCCGTTTGTTGAAATTCAGACGTAACGTTACAGAAATGCCTGCCGAATTGTATCGCGCGTTGTCCGCGGGAACATTTAATATATTTTAAACCGATACAATCGTGTTTTATTCGTATTTTTTTGTATTCGCGCGCGGTTGTTGTGTTACTGATTACCGACGAGCATAATTGATATAACGATAATGTGTTACCCCAGTGGCGTGATTCCACTCGAATAAATAATAACCTGAAATTAAATACCTGTGTATTGCGCGCGATAATATTATTATATTGTTATAACTTCGTTTGCCTATAGTAAACAAAGATTCCGGAAAAAAAAAAAAAAAAAAAAAAAAAAACAAAAACTACATGTGTATAATGTATTAAAGATTAACGAACCCTGTGCGATATTATACACACATTGTTATACGCGAATTTTTCGATTATTCATCAAAAGAAAAATAAAAAAATACACGAGTTAACAAATATTTATCATCGGTGCTATAGCTGAAATATAATATATACGCGCATAATAGGTATGTATACGTTCGGCTAAATAATATTATATCGTGTACGATATCGTAACGAACCGAAATTTTATTTACATTTCATCACCGCGGTAATAGTTACGTCTTTTTTTTTTTTTTTTTTTTTACACCGCTGCGGTATTGCCGCCGTTCATTAAATAATATAAAAAAAAAATAATAATAAAAATAAAAAATAACAATACCGAAACGTTTAATCCCGGGGGTTATTTTTCGTAACACGCCCGCGTACAGAAGCCCTATGTAAACCGAACGATGTTAATAATACACGCGCGGTAATACTATAGGTTATACCGTCCGGTATACAACAATTTATATTACACGTGTAATCCGTCCTGGAAGTTAAAAAAAAAAATGAAAAGAATTATAATAATAAAAAAACACCCCGTGTATTTTTACACGTCGATTATTCGCAGCTTTTGTATCGTATGCATAACATTATGTACATAGGTATACGTGTTATACACGTGCGTACTTGTCTGCTGCACACGTCAAAAGCGTCGGATTTTTTTCCAAAAATTAATTAATAATAATGATGTCATTCCGAGCGATTAAAAAAAAAAAAAAAGCTGTCCTAGGATAACGGAGACGGGCGCAGCTACTGTTACTGGTTATTTTAGTGCTGGTCCACGTACGCAACGATAAAACCATTGCTGACGAAAAAACGATTCTGAGCGGAGTTCGGTTGATGGTGTTGATATTTATTTATTTATTTGTCGCATTGTATATTTTCATTTATAATATTCGTTTAATATTGTATCTATTTTCCCGTTTTTCCTATGGTTTCCCATTTAATGGGGAAACTCCTGGGAAAATCGAAAAATGACTTCTCAAAGTACCTTCCCTGTCAGATTTCCTTTTAGAAAAAGTATACTATCATTATAAATAGGTGCAAAATTGCTGGTAGAAAAGTTGTCTATAGAAAAAAAAATTAAACATCATTGTAAATCCACAAGTTTCTTTGGTCCACTCAAAGCCAATGATTCCGATAACGGGAGGAGTGTCACTGTTGTGTAGCATGCACTGAAATGTACACTTTTTCGTACTGCACGCGTTTCATATTAAACCATACTAAATCATAAACGTACTATCACCGCAATGGAATTATTTCCATCTTTGATGGAGGAGGACGAAAGGGACTTTTTGATCAGCATATCAACGAAAAATTATCGCTCGCAAATTAATCTTAACTAACTTATTTTTCCTTGATGTATCATCGCACAAGGACAGATAGTTAATTTTTTTTCAGTAATTCTTATTTAATTTATACACTATAGCTGTATGCAGTATAATGCGATGCGATGATGAACCGTTGCTAGTCCGTAATAATATTCTATAAAGTGTCCCACGAAGATATACCTACTGTAATACCTTCGGATATAATAAAGATGATCAAATTCTGTTTTTTTTTTTTTTTTTTTTTTTTTTTTTCATGTATTATTCACAAGTATAAAGACTAAAAGTATTTATATTACATTTAATTTCGTACAATTTGGTAAAAAACTTAAAAAAAATTAACTTTTTATTTGATTATTTTCGAAAAATTAGAACAAAGCCATCGTATAGAGTTTATTTTGTTAAAAATGTTTGACGTATCAACTTTTATTTTTATTAAACACGTGATTTTAATAATTTTTTTTAAGTTCAAAGAAAAATACCTATAATTACGCAGCAAACTGTAATCGCATTCGCTAATTGATTATTGTTATTACGAATCATTGACTGTGTATTTTTTTTTTCTGAACTCTAAAAAATTATTAAAAACCACGAATTCAATGAAAAAAAAAAGTTGACACGTCAAACATTTTCAGAAAAATAAACTCTATAAAATGGCTATAAATATCTCTAAGTTTTTCAAAAATAATAAAATAAAAAGTTATTTTTCTAAGTTTAATTATAAAAACATAAGAAAATGAATTACAACATAAATATTTGTAATCGTTATCCCTGTGACGAGAAAAAAAAAACAAAGAAAAAAATTGATTATCATTATTATCTATCTGCAAAGATGTTACAATGGGTTTGTATCTCCGTGGGACACAGCCTATAATACGATATCTCGCGAAATTCCCACGCAAAACGGTCGACCTACCCACAGCGAGAAACATGTCCGGATTTTTTATAGTTGTTATTAATATTATTATTATCATCATCATCATATATAGATACCCGGTTAATTTTTTTCCAGCTATCCCCACTCTTTGCGCAACTGTTTCCGCCGTGTAAATATTGTTTCTCTACATTCGTACGGGGGCACGACAATATAATAATAATAATAATAACGCGATTTTAATATCGTATAGGCGTTCGACGGACGTTCACATAGACAGTCAGCAAAAAAAAAAACAATAATAATAAATGAAAATATAATTTTCGAGACGACCAACAGAGTATTGGACACGAATCGATGTTGTCATTTCCTGTAGTCTAACCCGCGACCATTGTCCGCGTATATAATAATATGTAGGCTCGCCGTATTGACTGATACCGCCGAAGAGAAAATTAATTTTATTAATATTTTTTTTTTTTTTTTTTTTTTTTTAATACATATATATATATATATATATATATATTATAATATTATACAATAATAAAAATATGTAACGTTAAACCGGTGCGCATATATAACGCCCATAATGCAACTTTATAACCGGATAAACGATTCGTCAGCAAACCTATACAAAATGTCTGGGGTTTGGTTATTTTTTTTTTTTTTACGATTATGATTATTATTATTATTTTTTTACGAAATCAGTGACATTAAAAAAAAAAAATAAAGTAAAAAATGTATTCCTTCTGGCAGTAGTGATGATACGACGGTGGACATTGAAAACGATATTTTTTAAATGTAAAATTATACCATTTCGTACACATCTGTACCTTTTTTTTTTTTTTTAAAGGAACCTGACTCGATGAGACGCATTAGAAGGGCGAGAATGATGAAGCGAGAAGACGTGGTCGAGATATATGTGCAAGAGCTAGGAGGAGTATTCCATTGGAAAGCACGAGACATAGACGTCTGCATGCAGGAGTTTTGGATGCACGACGACGGGGCGGTCTTAAAGATCGCTTTTGTAGTCCGCGAAGAGAAAGAAAGAAGAATTTGAGCATTTTTCTTAGAGGGTAGACGTGACCTTCATATCCTCTCTTAGAAAATCCGCAGTTTAGTTTCCTTTGCCACACACACACACACACACACACATAGACTGTTTTACATTTAATTATCTCTATTTCGAGAGATCGCACGGGTGTTACCGCTGAGTTATAATTTATAAATAGGTTTGTTCATAATATGCTCAATGCTCATTTGAGCACGACGTACAAACGCGCATATGCTTTTGTCTGTCTGTAAACAACTTTTCGAAAAGGAATCTTGCTCCAGTGTATTTATGAGAAGTGTAACCCGTTTTCTGAAATGAAATTTTCTCTAATTATTGCATTTAAATGGTCGTTTTTTGATTTTCTAAAGGGTTTTTCAAAATAAATGGGGAAAATCCGCAAGAAAATTATAGGTTCAACGGTGAATATTTACGGCGCGCCACGACGTCACCGATTTCATTGTTTTTGATTTTTGAAAATCAAATTAAATTGATTAATATTTACGGCAACTTGGAGTAAACCAAAAAATACGAAAAATACGATTTTTTCAAACTATGGCGCAAAGATTTCATTATTTAAAATTCTACTAAGATTATATTTGTCTACCAGAAATCTTTGTCCGAATTTCATGAATAACACATTATCCGGAGGAAAATTATGTGATGCTTGTGAGTTAAAAATCGTTGTTTAATTTTCATATAATTTTCTTAATAATTACGAAGAACGGGGAAAAAACGTAGGAAATACGATCATATTTACGGCACTTGGATTTTTTGTTGTTATTCGGTTAAAAATTATTATTAACAAGCCATGTAATTTTCACAAAATACTTATATTGACTTTTGTAGACGTAGTAAAATGTTCGAAACTATTTTTAAACTATTTACAGGTATTTTAAATTTTCATGTTTTTATAATATATGTATTTTTATTTGGTAGGTATCTGTTATTGGCATTATTTAATTTAAGTGAAATGCTTGAAAATTTAACAAAAGGTACATTATGAGTTATAATTAGTGGTTTAAAAAAACAAATTTGAGTTTAATACGTTAGTTATTTTCATAAGCGGTTTAAGATTAAATTTCCATGAAAATCATACAAATTACGACATTTCAAAATATGTCTTATCGAACTTCACTTCGAATCATTTTTCGTTAGCGTTAGTCTTTGGGTATAGATAAAAATGAAATAGCGTTATAAATCTTACCTTGTAAATTTCCCATCTATAACTGTGGCTGCTCCTGTCCCCAGAATCAGCTCATTTTTTTCGGTTTTTCCCGATTATTATTAAAACCACTCGAACAATAAAATTCAAATATAACCTCCATATCGCACCAAATTTTTCTTTTAAAAATAGTACTACATTTGATTCATCAGAACAAGATTTCCGGTAGAAAAGTTGTTCACAAACATACAAAATAAAAAAACTAAAAACACATCTCAGTAAAACCCCAGATACCTTGCTACAATCTGATTCTAAAACATGTTTTATTTGAATACTAGTTACTTTTATCATACATTTCGTTATCATAATACCTCGATAACAATCTGTTTTTGTAAATTCAAATTAGACAGGAAAAGAGTAGTGGAGCAATATTTGCGTGGCGGCACGGCGTGTTTAGTTTTAATAATGACCTCTACTCTCTCCCGAATTAAACTTAAAAGTGAAATATCTCGTCAACGAGTTGCCGGAAATCAAACATTTTAACACCAAACTGTATTTGAAGTAATAATTTAAGTCATAATCTATTTACGTAATTTTTATCATAGGTTCCCATTGGAAAAATCAAAAGGTGGTATCGCCACAGGATACTCTTATAAATGTTGCGAAAATTCTAAATATTCGAAAACAACTACTTTACCTACACTTAAAAATTCCAAAAGTCAGAATTTTAATGTACGCGAAACTTAAGCCAAAAAATGAGATGAGCACGTTTAGTGCATCACCCTGTATATGTCATATTATGGTAAAATGATAACAACAATATGCGTTTCCATGACAACGATAATTATTTGAAATAGATTAAAATAATAAAACTTAATAATAATAAAAAATAAATAAAAACGGTTGCCAATGACAGCCTTATTTTTAATCTTTTAATTTTTTTTAACCCAAACTAAAGAACCAGGTTTTCCTCATTATTCCGAATTTGAGAATATTTCAAGAATTTCAAAAAAATGACCTTTCTAAATTCTAAAGTACCACCCAGAGAACATTTCCTTTCGGAAAAGGTGTTATTCGGTGTAGCTCTCTGGTAGAAAGTGTTCACATAAAAAAAAAAAAAAATTAAATAAACATCATTTCTTTTAACTTTCTCGTTCCACACAGAATGTAAAAAAAAACAATTCAAATAATAATGAAATTTAAACGGTCTATTTATTAAAACATCGAAATTTGATTGATTGAATGAAATTGAAGAAAAAAAAATTGAAAAAACGAGCAAAAATTTACTGGGCCTGTCCGGGATTTGAACCCGGGACCTCTCGCACCCAAAGCGAGAATCATACCCCTAGACCAACAGGCCGCCATGTGTATTGTAGTAGTAATACTTATATTTATATTATATATTAGTATAATATATATATATATTATTTATACAGTATGTTATACTATATATTGCTTTATTTACTTTTACATTCATTTTATTTTTCATTCTACTTACTTTTACACATTCGTAAAAAAGTCGTTGAATTAATAATATTAACTACAATTCTTACCGGTTATACAAATGTGCAACCAATACAACCAATATTTCTAAATTTCCATTTACTTATTTATTTTCAATACCTACTTATTACATAAACAGAACGATCAATTCTCAATTGAAAACTCTCATTATATCGGTATTAACTTTGTTATTTTTAAAATGTATGAAACAAGCAGCTTTTAAAAGTTACACTAACGTTTTTTTTTTCGTTACTCTTATATTTTTTACTCATTTTTGATTTTGAAATTATTAAAATATGTACAAAGTAATATTGCTGAGGTAGGTATTGATTTTATATTTTAAGAAATTATAACAATATAACAACGACAACATTTGAGTAAAAATAATAATAATTTTTTTTTTTTTTGACGACAAGTCGTATTATATTTTCAAAACTTAGGTATCCAAATCAACGGTTTATTGGGATAACATATACGTATGTTCCCACCGAGTATATCTATACAGATTACGTTACGGTTTTTAATAGTTATTTCCAATTTATTGTATCCCTATGTATATACATATAAAAAAAAAGGTACTTTGAAGAGCTGCGAGACCGATGGAAACCATTTCAGTGTTTATTATAATTTATCCTATACAAATACGGTTATAGTGTTTTTGAACAAAATGTTCGTTCATTGTTGATCGTTTAAAAGGGTTCTCGATGATTACTTTAAACGTCGGTGACCCCACACGTATGTGCACATTTCCGATTTAACGGCGGGGATCCGATTTATTTTATTTTTGAATTTTTAAGTTTACGGTCTCCCAAAATGGAGTATTTACATTATTTTACAGTACAGTTATGCGGAATTCGAAATTCAAACTGTACAGGTGCCTGTCTGTTACATTATATAATATATTAATTATATTATATATAAATTCCAAATTATTAAGACCACGGCGAAACACGTACGATTTTCTCAAATTTACTTCGTAAAACAAACTTTATTTTGAAATAAATTTTATATTTTTATCTTGTACGGAACATAATACGCGTGGGCAATAATTTGACTTTCAAACGCATAATTGGTTCATTGAAATCTAATACAATACTATTAAATATTATTTTGAGTTTTAAAAATCAAAAACCAAACTCGTCAATTTAAATATAAACACTCCGTAAAAAAGGATTGTATACATAATATGTCCATGATGTAAACGGGATGGACGGTGGGGCGGAATGAAATATTTAATGTCACGGAGATTATCCTTTTCTATTCTGGAACGTTTTTCTTTCGTGTTTTTTTTTTTTTTTTTTTTAACGAGTTATCTTCATTTCGTTACACTATATTATATTACAATATTATACGTAACCTCATTTATAAATATCTCTTGTATTCAACCCTCTTTAAACGAGCTTCTGCAGATCCGTCACTGTAGATAGTATACATATACTGAGGTATACTGCTTTTAACTAAGAGTTAAAAAAAAATAATCATAAATCATTTTTTGAAAAAAATTGTCTATAATATCGTTATAAATTAATATTTTCAGTCTTCCGAGCGACACATGATTATAAAACACGTGGATTGCAGGTATAGGTGTATAATAAATTACTTTAAAGTCATTAAAGTCATTAAAAAACGAAAAAAAAAAACCCTAAAACTTCATATCATATTTATGTGAAATTTTCAATATAGGTTGCTATTTGAAATTCAAAAACGGGTAATGATTTCATTCCCGAAAATATGGGTGACAAAAAAATAGCTGATATATCATTTTAGAGATGCTATTTATTTCTTAAATATTTTAAGAAAAAAATTACGAAAAGAGTTAAAGCACTTTTCGGGATAATGAGTGTCTAATCAAAGACTGATCAGTGATCATCCTATTTATATTCTATAGTATATGTGAAATTTTAAATAAAAATAAAAATACGAAGAAAATTACATTACATTTAACAAAAACGTAATAAATAAAAAAAAAACAAACCTCTGTGCAACGCAGAGGTCAGACGGTTAAGTGTAAGTGATAGGGAATAAACAGGAAAAAATCAATCTGTCCGAGTTCAAATTCCAAAATTGTTTATAAAATGTTTGAATTTTCCCGGTTATAAATGTAATGTTTCCTAAATTTTATATTACATTGCAACGTTTAGTTAAAAATCGCAATTCGATGATTAGTTGAAGATTTAATATTAACGTTGTCTTTTGAAAGTGTTCTGAACATTTAGCAAAATCAAATTTAACAAAAAAATTAAAGGTTCAGCATTTTTCACCGCCCTCTTTGTTTTAAAAAATTAAAAGTTTTCTTATTATTTTTTTTTTTTTCCCCCGATAATTTCGTATCACCTGTGCACCGGGTGTCATCCAGACCGAGAACCCGCCGGTCTAGATACGTTTTAGACGGGGTTTATTATTATTATTATTATTATTGTTTTATTTTTTTTTTTTTTTTTTTTTTTTTGACGCTTAAGTTTTATTAAATGTCTGTCGGGAACCGGACCAATCACAACCCGGCGAATAATTCGCACGGTCGGTAACAACGTCGAGCACGGCATTCACGCACAGTTTTCGGCGTCGGCGGCGGTACGATTACACCTGTAACGGCGTAAAATGCACGAAGCGAACACCGATCGCGTACGAACGCTCGTTCGAGAACCGTTCCGAACGCTTCTGTACGCGCATACAGGTTTTAAATGGTTGCCGTTTGCATTTAGCCGCGTACACGTAAACACGTACACGTAAACACGTATACTAAATATACTGGCTCCGATATAAAATACACAATAAACGTTCGGATTAATGACGCGTCAGTATTAATTATTTGTGTTATGGGCGCGCAAAACGCCTAATCGACTGTCCCGACTCCCCGTCACGGTTACGTTTAGGTCGGGTCACACACACATTACTTATACAATATGCGACGGCACGCCACAGTATACTAGCTGTCCCGCGTCCGGCCTCGCCCGTGCAGATTATTATTATTATCATCATCATCATCGTCGTCGTCGTCGTCGTCATCGTTTGACCGGTGTATTAATTTTTGCTACTGGCCCGCGTCCCCGAACCGAATGAAAACAAACCGGTGTAAAGCGGGCGGTGCACGCGTCCTCCACTGCGCGCGGATCCAATACAGAAGGAGAGGGTGGGTGTAGGCTATTCGGAGTCTCCCGAGTTTGTCCGGGATACTGCGATCGGCTGCAGGTGCCGCGAGCACAAGCGCCGAGCATTTGAAGACAACGTCCGTCAGAAGTCGCGGACGACGACGAATCGGTTTCCGTCGGTGGTTCCTCCGTCGTTGAGACATCTGCACGTTGAACGGTCTTTGAATTATTTTTCAAAAAATTATCGATTTCGAAAATCGATAAATATTCGGAAAATTTATAAGAGAAGTCACCTCGTTGAACAACGGTTAATCGTTTAACGCGGTAATTATAATTGCATCACGACGGTCGGTGAGCTTGGGGGGGGGGGCGCGCGCGAACCGACAGCTAGACGCTTGCCGAAATTCTGAAGAACTCGTGCTCGGTTCCGTAGTACAACGACGACATGCGCGGGGGCCCACTTGCCCGAAACGCGCTCCATGCCGTGCCGGCCGGCGGCTGAGTACGTCGATCGATCGGTACAAATCGATATCGCGGGGAACGGGGACTGAGCCGCCCCACGGTCGAAAACAATATCCGGGCTGTTCGCGGCAACGCGGATTAAAACTAATGTAACATGTGTTGTACATTATCTATGCATCTATATATTATCTATGTATCTATGTATCTATATATAAAATCCGAATGCCACTGACTCACGCCCCATACCGCGCCCGCCGGCCGGCGGCCGAGTGCGTTTTATAATTACGGTAATTAGAAAATATACGCTCGGTATTTACGCGATACCCGGGCTGACTACCGAGTTTTGGCGGGACGAGGGCTAAACCCCGAATCCCTCCTATTTGTGCCGATGTCGATCCCGCTGACCGAGGCCGTCGAAATGACAGCAGCGACGACGTGTTTACAGGGGGCCCCATGTGAAATGACGACGTGGTCGGTCGTCAAACGGTGTTACAGGCCGTAGTTAGACATCACTAGCCGTACGACCGGACATCGTCATTCAAAAATCAACGGTTTTCTCGCGCAGCGATCGTTTTAGACGTGAGGCGCCGCGAGTACAATTATATCACCGACGGGTGCAGTGCATTATAGGTGCATCGTCAAGCGTCGATTTAGAATTACATCGAAATACTTGTTGGCAATTGTTTTGACTAACACACAAAAATAATTATAGGTACTGTGCGTGTATTTAAAAGACGGCAAAAAAAAAAAAAAAAAACCCCACGCGTTTTAAATGAGTTATAAAAGTTAGTGCGATGCTTGAAAAACACGCACGCACACTCACGCACACCCTTAATTTAATCGTCTGTCACCGGGGCGATGTTGTGCTGGTCGCGCCGACTTATTCCAATATAGGTCGTGTTTAAGGACGGTCTGGAAACTCGTCGAAGGAAAAAATATACAATCGTGGATTCGATGTCAACAAATGTTTCGAACTATGACAATGAAAATAATTACTGAATAAAAATGTCTCCGAACTCTGCTTAAAAGCAAATGCGCTGATTGTCTTACTCGACACGGTACGCTTGAACTATTGAATCACGTTTGTCTATGCTTCGGCAATCCAAAAGAGAAACGAACAACAAACCGGCTATGCGTCGGTTATATTGCTGTTGCTTGTATTGTCGTTTGATTTCTGGATTGTCTGCAGGTATACCGGCCACGGGTTACCCATATAGACTACGAGGGGAAAAAAAACACGGCCCGTACTGTGACCAATAACCTGTATTACGCCTCAGTTCGCCGAATTCCGCTCATTATCGTTTCTTTCCGGTGAACTAAGTGAATGACAGTGCCCTGTACACTACCCGCGTACATAATACAACTACAGCTAAGCAGTGGCCAAAGCGCGAACTATTTCCGGCCCCGTGCACGTTATTACGCGGATAATAGCGTGCGCAAACCGTAGCACGTCGAATAACACGTGAGGGGAAACAATTTGAAAAAAAATTAAAATTACTTTCACACGTCATTACCGACGCGGCCTGGAACATTTTTTTTTTTTTCACTTGTAGAGTCGCGGTTGTTTCGGTGTTTACACGAGCCGAAAAAAAAAAAATATGAAAATCCGTCGAAATCCCATCAGCCCTAATATTATTATTACTATCGTAATCGGTTTTTTTTTTTTACATTTTTTTTGTTTATTAAATCTTGTGGATTTCACGACGAAAAACGTATTAACGTCGACGAATCGACAATATATAATAGCACACATTCTGAGTGGAGCGAAGAAACTTATGGTTTTACAAAGATTTACCGCAGTATGACGCGCGTATCGTTGACAAAGCAACACTGTCGCGTGAACTCCGCTCAGAATCGTTTTTTTTTTCGTTAGCAACGGTTTATCGTCACGTGTCAGATATGCATTTGATCCCTGTCCATATCGTGCCTCATTCGCAACGTTCCGCCTACAATAGTGGCCGCACCGCCCGTACCCATTATCCTAGAACAGGTTTTTAATAATAAATTATTCTATGATAATTTATGTAATCGCGGCGGCGATCAAAGTCTGGACATTTCGGGAACTGTCGGCATCCGAGCTGCGACCGTACGTTTTAATATTACTGTGCGACGCGTATACCGCCGGCCGTGAGCCGTCGTCATTAAAATAACCGTTTTCACGCTGGCAGGGACGGCGTCTGCCCCCGTCCCGGTCTCGTTGACGCACATCGTCCGCGATGATGTGGCAGTTTTCCTCGCCGATGCATACGTATATAATACATACAATATACATATTGTGTATACAGGGCGATCGACCGACGAATATTTCGTTTTTTTTTTTTTTTATTTTCAATCAATATTTCGGATTTTTCACCTCTGCTCCTCGACGAGCGTAATACTAATGTGGGACTCGCGAGTTTATAACCGTTTATACAAACGTATACAGACTGGATGCGTAATAAATTTCGTGTTATCCGTTTTCAGACAATAATACATTCGGAATCCTTCCCGGCACCTCGGGTCTAAACTGCATACACTGTTATTGTAACTCATCGACGGTAAATCCGGTAATAGTGCTATCAATTCAATATCCAAAGTGTAAGCTCATTTCAACAGTAAGGAGTGTGTGTAAAAAAGACGAACATCCTTCGCACGATGGGTTGGCCACTGTTGGATTTAATTATTATATCTTTACGCATCGATAAACCATTGCTAACAAAAAACGAGCTAAGTTTCTTTTAAACGTGCACGTACATTTTCCTGTTTCACCTACGTTTTTTTACCCGGTTTTCACAATTATTATGAAAAAGGAGCAACTAGATAAAATTTCCTTTCGGAAAAAGCGCTACGCTTGATATATCAGAGTAGAATATCTGGTAGAAGAATCGCTCACAGTATAAAAAAATTAACACCGTACATTAAAACCAATACATTCTCCGCTATGCTCCGAATCTAAAACTGAAAATGTTGTTCGAACAAAAACTAAACGAATCCATAATTATTATGTATAAAAACAAAAATCAAATTCACGTAAAATCGTTCGAGAAAATTGCCGGTTCATAAGTTGGTCACACTGTGTGTTTATATATATCAATAAAATATTATATATTAAGTATAAAATCGTCCCGTCGTCGGTGTGGTATAGCCGACAAAACTTGCATACTTTATATACAGTTTATATAATAATAACATACTGTAGAATACTAAACGATCAAGGTTGTTCGATTTAATGTGTGTAACATTAACTCAATTAAAAGTAAAGTTGATTGAAAAACATTTAAAACAATGAAACCGTTAACAGTTCGGTGCCGTAAATATATATCAGTTTTTTTTTTTAACGAAAAAGACTTCCGAGGCGATAGAAATAAGATTTCTGGTAAATAAGGTTTCAGAAAAAAAAACACACTTATCATAGTAAAACCGATACATTCCTCGTGTATCATTCAGGATCTAAAATAACAGTATTATTTACTTTAGAAAAAATTTTTGGCCGCAGGACATGCGCCGCTTACCTATAAGTTTGCCTTGACGGTACCACATTGCCTGTATACGGAATGTTGAGTCCAGGCAAATGACAGAGGGGGCGATAACCCCCCCTGTTAAATGTGGGTAAATTAATAGTTAAACAAATTTGACTGGTTTTAGTAAGAGTAGATAAGCGAAAAACGAGGAGGTCATTACTATAGTTTTAGTAATGCCCTCCTCCTCCTCCCCCCCCCCAGAAAAATTGTCCGGATTCAACACTGTAAGTCGAAAACACAAGTGAATTTTCCGATTTTATACACACAACTGTATTATTTGTACACCTGTATTTGGTACCTGTATACGTATATATATTTATATATCGATCGAGACGCACACGTTTTATACGATTTCGCGGGTATAGGTCAGTAGTGCAACACACACAATAATTATTATACTATACGTGCAGATACCCATTGTATACGTATACGTAATCGTAACACGTACACATTTAACACGCGTATAAATAATATAACAGAGAGATGATTTTTTTTTTTTTTTTTTTTTTAGCTACCAATATACTAATATGCCGTTAGGTATATAATAATCTCGTTTTAAAGTCGGATTTTCTCTTCGCCAAATACGTATTATATTAACGCACATAGGCGTGCGTACGTTTTTTTTGCGAGAAAATGGTTCGTTATTATTTCGTTATCCCGAGTCTCCCCTAAAGAATGAAGGATATCGTTGTTGACGTGAAAAACCGCCATTTGTTCATAGTTTTTGATTTTGAAGTATTCCTGGATTCAGAAAAAAATAAGCTCAATCGCGATCCGGTATATTGATTTACAGTGAACTATTATTACATTGCTATAAAACAAAACTTATATAATATTATCACTATTACGGTAAACCTCGTACCCGAGTTAAGTGCCTATACAATATCACAGTTCGTGGTCACCGCTCGGTCGGTCTGATTTATTTATTGTACAACGACAGTTTTCCATACCTCGTCGTGGGTAAGCATTTACTCTAAACAAAGCCCGGAATGAGTGAATTTCGTTTTCAGCCCACGGGCACACCTGGCGCACGCCTATATCTTGTTACTATACATATATCTCTACTGTATTATGACTAATATTAGGCGATATTAGACGAGATGTAATTCGGTTTTATGTATAGGTATGTTATACAGTGACGTAGCCAGATGGGGGGGGGCGGGTAGGTGTTGTAATCCCTATCCCATTGATTTTTTTTTTTTAACTATAGATAAGGTTAAGTTTAAGGTTGTACACCTTAAACTCCATCTCTCCTCCCGTTAATAAATCAATGATGGGTGTATACAATATGGTACTATTTATATTGTAATAATATATGAGTACCTATATTAGGCACGCTGTAAATCGCGTCCGGTTTTTAATTTTTCGTGTAAATTACGGTCCGGGTATATTTTATTCATAAATAAATTACGTCTATGATATTTTTTGCAAAATTAACATTTTTCAGACTCGGGACTGGCAATATAATTGTGTTAGGTAATATCGATTAAAAATATTGGTTTTACTATTTTTTATTTATAATTAAAATATGTATTTTTAACAAATAGTAATAAAATATACCGGGTAAAAATGTGTGCGATTAAAAATGTATATCATTAAAACATTTGTAATTAAGAAAGTGATAAAAATGTATAAGATGATGTATTTTATTTCAATTGAATATAAATGAACGTTATGAAAAACGAAAGGAATAAAACTCTTAAAACGGTTGATGGATTCAGATTTCGTTTTCACAAATCACTAAAATATTAATACTGCAATTATATTACCGGTCCTAAGCATAAAAAATACTGATTTCTCAAAAAACGACGTAATTAGAAAACTATTCAGGTACATAATATTATACAAAATTTACCCGGACCGCAATTTATGCGTATGTAAGAAATATGCTCGGGCCGTAATTTACATATTAGGTAGAAACTAGTGACTATGTTATGATTTTTTATCGAGGACGCAATTCACCGAACCGGACCGACCGGACACCGGATTATTTATCGATAAAACAAAGCTTATCGGCTCTGTCACCTCGCCGTTTTAGTCGGGCGTCCATCGCGAATGCTTCGAGAGATCGACAATCTGCAGCGATTTGCCTATACGATTTTCGAGGAACGCAGAAATACATCGCGGATTTCTAATCTGATCGATCATCGAGTGATCATGGTACATTAAAAATTTATTTAAAAAAAAAAAAAAAATGAACATACTTTACACGATAGGTGGACCACTGCTATAGATGAAAATTCGGGAAGTTAAAGGGGAAATTTAATGTATATCTGTACGTGACGGTTAATCATCATTGTTAACGGAAAACAGTTGTGAGCAGAGTTCGGTTATACGTGGTTTGAATGACCGAAATATTTACGATTTGAAAATACAATAAGTTTCTTAAATTGTTCTGTTTTTCCCATTTGTTATGGAAAACCCTGGGAAAATTAAAAAATTACTTTCGTAAAGTAGCACGTCAAAAAAATTTCCTTTTAGAAAAAGTGCTACACTTGAAAATCGGAGCATAATGTCTAGTAGAAAAGTTGTTCACAGACAAAAAAATACATACAAATATTAAACATAATTTCGGTAAAACCAATACGTTCGTATTGGACACTCGCTGCCCTCAGAATCTAAAATATCAATTTATTCAATCCGATCATCGCGACGTGATTACCACGTCATCTGTTGTCGTTTTGCCGCATAGGTGGTTTAACACGAACAAAATGAATAGGTATAATAATACCTATTCATTTATTTACTAACTATAATAAATCGTAGTTATTTGAATGGTTTTATTTTAATTAAGTATTAATAAAATGTAATGTTAGGTATTTGTATTATGTTATTATTTATTTATCATCACATAAACATCGTTATAATTATATTATTATGGCACTTGGAGTTACAAAGTCGATCGTACTTTTTGCGTTTGCATCGATTGGTCTTACATAATGTACTGCAAGTACACCGGCTATCAAATACCCTTGACCACTCAAATTAGAACATTATTTCTCTCGTGGAGAAATTATTTGTACTGGCGGTACCCAGGCCCTTGGCAAGACATTTTCCACTCTAAAGCGAACATTTTGATACATTTTAATTTCATTTCGCCGCTTCAATTTGATTTAAAACAGTATGCCGCCTTAAGGCGACGAATGATTTGCTTGCGTCCTAGCGACGGGCCTGGCGGTACCTCATCATTAGCCTGGATAATCGCCTCTTTGCATATCGTGAATTCGTCGACTAATGGCAGACTAAATATAGGCGACGTCGCGATAGTACATAGGTATAATCATTCGAAAACATCGAATAAAATCAATAGTAGTCAAAATTAAATAGCGTATTATGACTGCACGGGATGTACACCGGTGCCTCGATGCACGTGTACATTTTTCTAAATTAAACCGGTACTTCGTAAGTCGCGGTATCAAACGAATAAAATACGTACGTAGAATATAGATATAGGTATAACTATCACGTATAAACGACATTCGATAAAAATGTGCCTACTTGATGCCGGGCAGGGTACAACTTTGCCCGGACACTCTCATACAATGCCCGGTCAATGTAGGGAAAATATGAGTGTTAAAAAACATTATTCTCACATTGTCCGAAATGTTTGAGCATTGCGCACAGTGCCCTCGATTTCCCACTTTTCCCGTAGCATAATATACACAAAATTAATGATTCGTAGTTTAACGAACGAAAAACGTTCCTTTGTTAGAAACCATAGTTTCTTTCTTCAACGCTGAAAAGAGCCAGGGACGGTCGTCGGGGAGCTTAGAGGACGCCCCCCCCCCAATTTCGTATTTTTTGTTGAAAACAACTTTACAAAAAAAAAAAATAAAAAATTGTCCTAGGACAATGAGGACGGATGTATATTTTCTCTAATAATATTTGTTTAATATCGTACGGATTTTCCCGTTTTTTCTCCGTTGTTTTTCGGTATTTCACACATTTTGAGAAATCTATTGATAAAATAGAAAAATTACCTCCTATTCACACCGATTTCCTTACAGAAAAGGTGCTACACTTAAAAATCATCGGAGCAAGATTTCTGGTAGAAAAGTTGTCTACGGAAAAAAAACATAATAATCATCTTTATAAAACCACAAGCTTCTTCGTTCCACTTATAATCACACTAAATATAATGTGTATAATGCGATATATAACACCCTATAGTCGATATATCGACTATTACGGATACGTACAAGTGTGTGATTGGAGGCGGTATACTATAGACTACATCTGTACTGTGCATTACAACTTCTGAACTGTATAAAATATGCTTTTGTTATTCATATAGTTTTCTGAAAAATACGACTTAGCCGATCCTCACCCCCAAAACTGAGTCTCCAGAGCCACCGCTCGAACGAACCGGTTCGTGATTCATTTTCAAAACGAATTGCGTGTTTTCAAGAATCACTGATAAGAGGCCGCTACATCCGCACGCGTGCCGTATCGGTCCAACCAACGGGCAATGTAGCGACGTCCACCTCACACGCGTATAGACTGCGTAGAACTCGCCTAATTTCGGTTTTAGAGTAAAATCGCCTGTTATGCAATTAAAAGAGAACTATACTACGATAATCGAATTATTATTATTCCGGATGTAACGTTCAACAAACGTTAAACAATAAACTAATAAATGGGCACGCGGTGATATGTGTCGTTAATTGTTATAAATTATAAATTATAATACGAAAAGTATACATAAGTATAAACGCACGGTGAATAAAACAGGGAGAATTTATGTTTTTCGTTCGAACATCACGAAATTTCGCAACCCTAATTTATATTGTTACATGTTCCAGGAGGCGCGGTCGGCTACCAACGCCGTGTTGTTTGGCGTGCGGAATCCGCGGGGGTGTCCGATGCGCTCGATCCCGCGGAAACGCCGGACGAAAAACCGGTAAATAGAATATTATTTTATGCGCGCGACGGGCCGTTCCGTGTAATAATTATTATTGTGCGCGGCGATATCGTAGAATTATTGCGGCGGTCGCGGTACAGTGACGGCGGCGGCGGGAGAAAGTGCCGGAGTGAGAAAGAGAGGGAGCGAGAGAGAAACAGCGTGAGAGAGCGCCGGTGAGAGAGCTAGTGTCGCGGCGTACGGTCTTCGGCGTCGACGGATATACCCGCCGCCGCCGCCGCCGTCTGAGGGCGGTAACGCGCCGGGCCCGGGCCAATGAACGCGCGCCGCCCCGCCCACCGGCCGGGCGCCCGGCGCGGCGCCGCGTCCGTGAACGCGACGGCACGCCGGACCCGAGACGGCCGCCGTCCCGCGGCATTGCGGAAACTGCACCGGTAGCACCCTGACGCCGCTCGGCTCATTCCTCCGTACCGCACGGCGCGCGCGTGTTGTTATTACCGTCGGATTCGCGAATACGTGTAAATTGTACGAAAATACGCGCCGTCGTCGTATTGTTATTAACGCCGTACCGTCTGCGATGTGAATAATACTATTATCATACAGTTTTTTCTTTCCCCTCCCCATCCCCCCCGCGATACGTTATAATATTATACAACGGTTGTCGACAGATAAAAACCGCGGTTCGTATAGCAATCAATCACGGTAAATATTATTATTTTGCTGTTGTTGCGTACGCGCGCCGGCGTGGTTTACACGGGTTAATCGAAATCCGAATCGCGCTTTTTTCCCCAGCGCCGTGTACTCCGTTCCGTTATACGCGACGGCACGCGACACTGTCATTATGGAAGCCGACGATCCGCGCTTAGCGGACGAATACGTTCACGAATTTGTTCTCGACCACTTGGACGTGACTTCGGTGAAACGCGAGATACCGTCGTCCGACTACCATCATCACCAACATCAGCCGCACACGGGCCACCACGGACTCCATCACCACCAACAGCAGCACAACCCCGCCGGCGATCGCTTACCATCAATGCCAATCACCGGCGGTGGTGGCGGCGGTGGCGGCGGCGGCGGTGGCGGCGGTAATGGCCCCGGCGGCAACGGCTCTGCGGCAGCGTCCACGCTGGTCCAGTCGCCGCCTCCGCATTACCTGCTCACACCGCCGGGATGCGAACAGGAGTACCAGCATCCGAATAGGCATCACCATCATCTTCCCAACCAGCAGGTAGGCGGCGTCGGAATGGCGATGAACGGTCACGCGGCGACATCAGCGGCCGCCGGCGTTCTAATACCCGGAGGAGGTGGCGCGGTCGCAGTCAAGGTGTCCGATTCCGGGACGGGTTCGATGATATACTCCAACACTCCTGGGACGCCGCCGGACACGCCGCCGGTAAGCCGTTCGCCGCCGCCCGCTACGCCGTTACGCCATGCGGGCTTCATACACGCCGACGACATGGTTTGGTTAACGCAATCGTTGCGACAGGAACCGCTGGACCTCTGCAGACCTCTGGTGCAACAGCACCACCAGCAGCAGCTCCAGCAACACTATCACCACCATCAGCATCCACAGCACCACCATCACCTTCTTAATCAGCAAGGATCCGCGGTGGCTGCGGATTGGATGGTGCCAGACCAGAATCACGTGCCCGTTATACAGCCCAAGATTTTCCACAACAAACTGCAGGTCCACGACATAGAATGCAGGCCGAACTCGCCATTAGACGTCGGCAACAGCAGAATGGGCATCCCTTATTCGCAGCGGCTGGACAGCGATTCCAGCCTCAGCAGCGTCGTGTCAAGCTTGACAAGCTCCAAAACTACGTTGTGCCTGTTACCATCACGCCGTAATAGCGATACGTCGGACGACCTGATCAACGACGATCTCCTGCTGCAGCTGCCGGTGCGCGAGCTCAACAAGCGGCTCCAGGGCACGTCCAAGGAGGAGGTCGCCCGGCTCAAGCAGAAACGGCGGACGCTCAAGAACCGCGGTTACGCGCAGAGCTGCCGGACCAAACGGATGAACCAGCGTATCGAGCTGGAGAACGCCAACCAGTTGCTGAAAGCCGAGATCCGGAGTCTCAAGTTGGAGCTGCAGCACGTCACGCACGAACGGGACGTGTACAAGCAGAGGTGTTCCGAGCTGTCCGACGCCCGGGAGTCCATGAACGCGGCGGCGATGGCGGCTGCCGCGGTCTCGTCCGTCTCGTCCGTCCAGGTCGACAGCAACTCCAATTCGCCCGAATCGCGCTACCTGTGACAGACGAGGAAATCGTATGCGTCCACACTGTGGTTATCCAAGTGAGTAACGCGCGTAGTAGTTATGCCGCTCACAATGTATATCAGATTGTATATTATACACGCGGTGTCGGAGTTATACGTACCTATAGGAAAAATTATAAATAGGTTCTTTAGGGGGGGGGGAGGGTTTCGAGGGCCCGGCGACGGCGAGTCACGTATTTCGTTTTAATCAAGCCTTTTAATCACCAGGCTCGTGTAATCGCCGCGCAAAGTCGACCGAAATCGAAATGTCGAATTCTCTAAACGGTAAAATATGGATAATTATTTGAAAAACATTCACGAGGAATGTTATGACTGCACACTGTGATTTTCACGGTATACTGCAACGACCGCGCGAAAGTCGTACGAAATCGTTTTATGTAATATTATAGGCTACCAAAATGTAATAAATTATATTATATTATTCTCTAATATTATTATAGATAATTTTCCGCGTGCGCGAACGATCAGTAGTTTTTCAATATTCTTGTGACGTGCAGTTGAACATAATATATAATTATGTTATATTATATTAATATTATTGCGTAAAATATAATTTTTTATCGACTTAGAAATGCTCGCCGAGTATAAAAAAAAAAAAAATTAACGAAACAAAAAAAAAACAACTTATACTGGGGTTGGGCGTGCCACCGTCGTGGTTGTGACGTTTGAAAGGTAGGACACGTAAAGTTTTTTAATTTGCAACGATAATCCGTTGCTGACGAAAAACGATTCTGGGTTCTATTATAATATGTTTTAAAATTCCGTGATGTTTACGATTTTTAAAAAAAATTCGATCGTAAAACGTTTATAAAAAATACTATATTATACGCTCAAATTTTTTTTTTTTGTTGCCACTTATTAAAATTCATAATAAATCTCATGTTCAACTTTCAAGCATTTCTATAGACTGTATATCTATATGCGTGTACTATGAACATTTTAAGTCCTTACAATTTTATTTTCTACCGAATTCCAACAACAAGAAAAAAAAACAAAATCGAAAATAATGAAATTATTAATGCCGTAAACTTTCTCGTTTTTCCCGCGTTTTCCAATTATTATAAAAAATATCTGGAAAATTAAAAATTACATCCTCGAAACATCAACTATGTTAATGACAAAAAAAAATCACTTATTTTAAAGTAAAATCAATGCTATACACTAAAAATCTAATAATATAATGATTACCAGATAAAACAGATACGTATAGTATCTCTTGGTTTCTCTTATGAAAATATATTATAATCAATTTCTACTCGTTAGCCGCGAATATCTTTAAAATGTTCTAGAGAATTCGTTTTATTTTAAGTCATACTTATTTTTGTCTCAATGGACTGAAAAAATAAAAAATACACATTTTTTGTAACTATAACGATTTAATTTAATTTAATATTATTTACTATGGTCGATTATCCGAAAATCCTTCTTTTCTTTTTTTTTAAAAGAAACTTTATTCATTTTAACGTTTGCCAAAGAAAAAAAAATAATAATAAAACATAATTCGCTATATAACTGCCTTTCTTTCCTAGGACCAAAGATATATATATATATACTTTTTTCTCTTTGTTTAATGGTCTTAAATTCGAGAACTAGAATCGTTTTTAGCTGAATTACAAAGCGATAAAAGTCGGATTGAATTTCAATATAATATAATAAATTGCACAGTGTTTATTGTTGGCGGAAATTGTTTTTTTTTTTAACTTTAAACACCCATGCAGACCTCCCAAATAAATTCAGTGGGATAAAATATGCATAGCATATAAGTATTTGAGGACGTTCTCTTGACGGTTTCAAATGTCATTCACCAATCACCAGACAATATTAATAATTCTTACATAAAATATTGATTATAACTGCGTTCTGTCCGGCGTTACCCGTGCTAATTTAATTTCCCACTTTTTTGATAATTTAAACGGTTCTATCCAGCTTTTATCCACAGCGTTAACCGTCATAGGAACAGTACATCCCGTTCCACATCAACACACGGTTATGTTAGGCCTATACAAATTATACACTATAACGGTTGTTATTTTTTAAAATTTTTTTTTTTATTTTGGCTCCAAATAAATTTTAATTTTCGTACCCTGTCCGAGCCATCATTTAGATGACAAATTTCGGAAATCCTGCTACGAGATTCACACTCTTCTGTAATTTGCGTATACGTTTTCGTACCTCTACGTACGATCATACAGTTTCGGCTGTGGATCGCGCACATAAATCGAACAAACGCTTCTTTTTAATAATTATAATGCACGTTTCTAGCTGAATTACCTAACGTTTTTCGGGTTCATCTGATTTATCTCAATTACTGCGGTTAATCGTTGTTGTCCGGTAATTTATCTTTTGAAAAGAGTACATTGAGTACATCCGTGACAATCAAATCAAAAACAATAATAACTGGGTTTTTTTTTCATCCGTGTCACCAAAAAAAACGTGGAAAAAATTCAATTCGTCATGTTGAATTATGAAAAATCACGCGTGAGTCACCCTTAAGGGACACTCGCCTCTTATCCTCTTAGATATTTATGCCAAGTGTGCGAAGTTTCATCGAGATCGTAGTACAACTGTACAGATATGCATAATATAGACGGACAGACCAATCAATTTTTACATATTATGTAAGATAGTGTCCGGTCACGCAATTTCACTACATATTATTTTACAGAAGAATATATCAATTATTGTTCTATACTCGTAAATCATTTGAAACGGGCGGTGAAAAAGTTGCCTCTGTGTGAACCGCTAAATGCAGAAAGGGCGCGTGGTCAAATTTTAAAATTATCCGAGAAAAACAAAAAAACTCTTTAACCAACCAGCATTTTATGTTATTTTATAGAATGGATGGCCCGTGTAGAAACGTGTCAATGACATCCGAAACTTTAGAACACGATTGTATTGCATAGAATTTCGGTTTTTCTTGATAAAATGTAAAATTTGAACACCGTGTGCCCCCGGTTGTACTCAGTGACCAGGGGCGGTTCCGGAGATTTGATTGAGAGAGGGGGAGGGCAAGTCATATTTTTTTCAGAAAACTGCAGTATACCGAAAAGCTTATATATTATAGTTTATTTTTAATCCGTAGTGAATAGTAGATAATACAGACATCTCTAACCGCACACTTGTTATCCGTGTCTGCAATAGTCGATACTATGTAATTTTTTCTGTTTTTTTTTTTGTAAAGTTGTTTTTAAACGAAAAATACGGGCCCGGGCGGGGGCCGCGGCCTCTAGCCCCCGTCCCCCTGGAGCCGTCCTGGTTATAGGGACTTTATATAACTATACGTACTCTGTATACATAGCGACGTGGCCCCGAGCTCTGCCGCTTACGGGCGATTTTTTTTATTCTTTTTTTTTTTTTCCGTATACTTTTCGAATTTACTCCGGGTTATTTTTTTTTTTATTATTATTCACCGCCCTTATTATAACGGTAGCGGCGGCGGTGAGTCGTTTAAACCGGCCACCGACGACAAGTGTCTCTCGTCGCCTGCACCAAAACACCGCGGCGGCCGTATTGTCAATTTCACTCGCCGCTGTCCCGCGGCGTTCGTCGGGGAGCCTTTTTTTTTTCACCCCCGATATATTATACATAACATTATGTATATAAGTATAAAAAAAAAAATATATATATATATATATATATACATAAAAAGTGTATAGTGCCCGGACGAGGACGATGTCTGTAATAAACGGCTAATGTACTTACACACTTACGCGCGCGCCGCACGCACGACCGTGACAAACGGCCCTGCCGAAGACGTCCGGTCATTTCGCGCGTAATACGTCACCGTGGCGGCAATTGATTCGATATCATTTTTTGTTTTTATTATTAATATTTTTATTTTTTTTTTTTTTTCACTTTCCCCCGAAACGACGCATTGACGGGCAAAAGGAAAAAAATGCCCGAAAATAAAATATTACACGGCCCGCCGGCACTCGTCGCGGCCGTTGTACAATATAATATATAGGTATACCCAGGTACGGCGGAGGGGGGGGTTAAGGGTTCAATCCTCCCTCACCGGTGGAGATTCGCGAAAATTATGATGTAAGTAGATTATTAATATAGAGTCTCGAAAGCGGTTATTCTGTCAATGAGGAAGATAAACACGGCAATTTGGGTTTTATTTTTATTTTATTACCGGATATAGTAGTATACTGTATATTGTTATATTATTGTCATTTCTAATTTTTCAACCGATACGGCGATAGTGCATAGTCCGCGTTATCGTCACAACAATATAAATACGTTATCATTTAGGCTGTATTCGCTGAACAATTATTAAATGTGAAATATAGTAAAATATATATACGTATATTTAGCCTAAAATGCTAAAGACGAATGTTATAAAATATTGACATTTTTAATGAAAAATAAATAATCCTACAATTGAAAGTGTATGTAAACTTCTTTGTTATAAGAGTATGAAATGGTACAACTTTAGACCTCCCCCCCCTCCTGAAATATTATTTTTTTTCTAAACGCGCCTGTGTACGTCTAGGTATTATACCGGAATGGAATAGGTGTCGCACCATTTTTTTTTTTAAATTATCATTGGCCGGCGGCGGCGGCGAGTGATTCTATATAATATACTCTGCAGTTAAAATCCCCCGGACACTTGTAAAATAAAACAAATTTTCTGAAACGGTCACGTATACGGTCGCGAAAACGTCGATTTTGACGATGACTGTGCAATAAGATAACCGATTCGATAAGACCGTGGCCGAAATCTGTTCGACATTTCGAGAGGGTCCGACAATGTTATTGCCGTATGGTTCTTGAGAGTCGTGCGAATTTATGCGAATCGCGCCCGCGCGAACAATCGGCGTACTTTTTTCGCGTTATAAATACGTTTTCCAAACGCCTCGCACTTTTTTAATGTTACAATATCTCCAAAAACAATTGCTTGTCGTTAATTCGTCACTATACTTTTTGAATAACTAAATTTGACACGTGTACATTGTAATGATAATGATGACGCGG